CCATGTGACATGGGTGGCCCTGGGGGCAGGATTCAGTCTCTTCTCCTCCAGCGACCATGTGACACAGGTGACCCTGGGGGCAGGATTCAGTCTCTTTCTTCCAGTGACCATGTGACATGGGCGGCCCTGGGGACAGGATTCAGTCTCTCCCCTCCAGCGACCATGTGACATGGGTGGATAGGATTCAGGATTGGGGGCAGGATGGGCAGGATTCAGTGTCTCTCTACCAGCTGAGGGAGGAGGTGACCCACCATGTGACACGGGCAGGCTGGGGGCAGGGTTCAGTCTCTCTCCTCCAGCTGAGGGAGGAGAAGACCCACCATGTGACACGGGCAGGCTGGGGGCAGGGTTCAGTCTCTCTCCTCCAGCTGAGGGAGGAAATGACCCACCATGTGACACGGGCAGGCTGGGGGCAGGGTTCAGTCTCTCTCCTCCAGCTTCCATGTGACAGGGTGGCCCTGGGGGCAGGATTCGCTCTCTCTCCTCCAGCGTCTGACACCGCTCCGCCCAGTCCACTTCATTTCTCTCCCTTCAGTTGCTTCTTCCTCCTCCTCTTCATCTCTCTTTGCCTTCCCCCAATTTCTCATTCTCTCTCTTGTCCTTTCTCGCTTATATGAAAAGAACATCTTATTAAATCAACAAAATATGAAACCTTAAGAGTAACTCACATTAAAAGGATTTGTGCTACATGTGGTTTTGGGATTGTCCGGAAGAGAAAAAATACCTGAGTCCCTAAGTCGTCTACCCAAGAGCAAGGCTTCTAGTGGGCTGGAGTGGACACCAGGGTCCAAGTGTGGCTGTCCCTGCCATTCAGTTTGAGGTCGAGCATACAAACCCCAGCACCCACACAGGTTAGCACACACCACCAGAAAACCGTGAAGTTTTTCATGTTTCACTTGGGATTAACTACACTGTTCTACAAAAATATAAACTAATCTGTACTTCTGATTAAGACAATATTTAGAAACTTTGTGTTTTCCTGGTTTTGAGCCAACGTTATTGCCAGCAAGGTGACACTGCAGAGGGGACAGGGAAGAAACAGAATCCTATCTCCACCTTCACATGGATAAGAGGTTACATGAAAAAAATCCATGTGAAATCTGGCTGATGCCATTGCATTGGCAGGTTTTCCTATAATCCAGATTAACTGAGTCAGTTCTAGTGATCTGTACAGATCCCTCCTACTTAGGACACTTGAGACCAGCAGAGAGCTTTGACAAGGATGAATGTTCTCCAAATTTTAAAGACAGACACTCTGAAGCCACCCACCAGCTTGGCACAAGAGATCCCGGCCCCTTTTGTGGTGATGCACAATGTAATTTCTAGAAACATGCACCCAAATAACACAATCACTTCCTTCTGGGTTCTTCTTGAGCCTGGCACCACTCCAGAAGAAGGGGCCTTGAGACCAGGGCATCAGGGATGTGTGGAGGCATCATTTTGATGGAGTCCTGCTGACTTAGGAGACCTGCTCAGGATTCATTCCTGATCTGGACAAACATGACCGGCTATATTTCATTTTAAACCTCAATATGTATTTTTCTCAACAGATTTTTTAGGAAGTGCACACAGTTTGAGGTTGCACTCCTGTTTGAAAGCCTAGCAAAAAGTACTCTTAATGGTCAGGGAGGCGTCTGTGTACTTTAGAAATCAGATGGCAAGGCTGACAGCCAGGTTCAGAAAGAAACATTTCCAACCCAAACTCTTCTCTGACACATGGTCATTTCGGTTCTCTGAGGAATTGGTGCTAAATATCTAAAGAAAAGAGAGGATGTCTTTCGAAAACACTTTGTTTCAGCTCCATGACTAATGGAAAAAGGAATCAGTGGGATCACCTTTTACTTTAGCCTCCTAATGTGAATAAGTGAATTCATTTCCTCAAGGTGGCTTTCTAACAGAAAGACAGCAATCTGCATTGTGCTTGTATCCCTTTCTAGCCTTCAGTGAACTCCTTTTTAAAAATATTCAAATCTTGACCAATTATAGGTTATTCACAGAAATAGAACAGCTACATTATTTCAGCTATATACCATACTATTTAACTCAAATCTCAATAATAATATGTCAAAATGTTGTGGAGGGGAAACCTGAATTATGTGGAATTTGAATGAATGTATTTTGAGCTCTATTTTAAGATTTTATTCTTCTATGAGAATATTGTTCTACTTCCTTTGCATGTGATTTAAAAAGTGTATGCTTCATATAGTCTTGGTTTTAAGTCACAGATACAACACTTATAAAGCATCTCTCTTTATATCATCACAGAGATGGCACTAGACAAAGCTTCTGCCCAGTGTTGAGACTCTAGGATGTGTTAGTCATTCACTGAACACTTGTTGAAATGAATAGAAATAAAGTGACTCCACCAACTAACACTGTGTCTTTTGCATTACCAAATATACTGTCTACTGTGCATTTTCATGAGTTGGCCTTAATTTAATGACGACTGGCTATGGGGTCCAAAATGGCACAGGAGCTGGGGATTAAATGAAGACTAAGACACGGTCACAGAGTCAAGAACAAAGATGAACACATTGAGTGTGGAGTGACCAGATGGTGTGTGGACCTCCTGGGACAGGGACACAGCTCACTGAAGACCAGAGACTACTACTGAAATAGGCAACACTTATGGTTTGGAGAAAGAGCTTTTGCCAGCCAGGAACAGGTGAAAGAAAGGAAGCCTAGTGACAGACATCAGAAACGTCCTTCAGTTATAAAGATATTGGTTAAAATATAAAGACCACAGAGTTGTAGGACCAAATCCCACATCAGCGGGAGAGTGGCCGTGTCAGCGCTTCACAGTCAGCTGCTCTGTCCCCACTGGGCCCACCTTGCTGCCCTTCTACCCTTCAAAGGTACCTAGTTACAATTCCACTGAGTATGAACAGCAGCAAAGGACAGAAGTAACTCTCAGCTAAAAAAATAAAAATAAAAACAAGGAGAGGAAATTGGGTGAGCAAAGCCCTGCCCATTTCAACTACATAAACAAAACAATATGATTAGTTTTTAGACCTTCTACCATGATGTCTGACCCAAACATTTTTGTTTTATCTTGGTTTTATTGAACTTGTTTATTTAGTTTTTATTGATATTTGTCTTCAGCCTAAACAAAGATCACTGAATGCTTCCATGGGCAATTGTGTGGCAACAAGGACACCCAGGAAATCACAAAGCCTGAATTTCCTGAGAAGTGACCTCCAGAAATTGCCCTATTAAGATGTGGAATGAGAACTGGGAGTGAAAGCATGTGGCCCACGTTGCTGTTCTATCAATCCTACTCATTAATTTACTGGTCTGCTAGTAATCTGAGCCAACAGAACAGATAAGCAAGGGGCTGGAAAGGTAGGCAAGAATGCCACCTAACGTAACGTCGCATGATCTTTAGTCTGACATACACAGATAGGCATGATGTACCCCAAAGGGACTGCTGAATTTTCTTTTAGTTCAAGCATGACTTAACAATTCTATTACTAACACGCTTCTAGAATTTTACATTTCAATTCTTCATTTCCTCCATGCTGGGAACAGGTGCTACTGTGGAATAGGTAATTCACCAACGGCTTCACGTTGCTTTGGAGAGAGCAAGTGGGAGAATCCAGAATTCAGTGGTCTTCTCAAGTGCTTCCCTTTACCTTACATACTACACCACAAAGTACATCATTCAAGATGGCCTTTTAAGACTGATCAAACAAGGGAATAAGAGTAGTATGAAATTTCAAAACG